ATAAAAATTCAAATATATATTTTATTTTAAATTGTTTTATTTAATTTTAAAAATAATATTTTTCTATTCCATGGGAGCCCATAGAGCACATGGGCCCACCATGTTAGATGTGGGTGGGGGTCTACATGTTCCACAAAAAGGTGGCACGCCCCACCCTCTTTGGATTCTCTTGTTTACTTTTAAGATAAAGTTAATTTGATTTGTGGCATGTGGTCAAATCTTGGAAGGGATATAATGACCATGAATTTATCTATTTTGTAGCAAGTTTGTTTTAAAGAGATATGATCAATTTGAATTGATATGGATCTTATCTTATTTATATTTGGTAGTATTTATCTACTTGATATTATTTGACATATCCTTATGGAATATGTGACATGAATCGTGGAATTTTATAGAATGTAGGATATTTATGTTATTTAAATATATTGATGGGAAAATGGTTTAAAAAATGGGGATAATGGTTCATGCACCTTTCATAATGGCCCATCTATGGAATGGATGGCTCAGATCTCTCACCCCACGAGTTACTATTGATGACGGTCTATGTTCAATCTCACAAGAAGATGCAAGCTAAAGAAAATCCTAATCTTATTCAAAGCCTATAAAAATGGATTATCTACCTAAAAAATCTATACACCTTATCTCTTGTACCTAATTCCCATTTTTTTCTCTCATATCCCAAAAAGGGGGCACACACCACTCTCTTATGTTTTGATCTCTCTCTCACATTATGAAAGAACCTAAGGATGTTTTGATCTCTCTCTCACATTTGTGAAAGAACCTAAGAGCTTGGATTATGGAGTTTTTCTTTCTGATCTCTCAAATATAGATTTACGGCTAAAGGTTTTAGGGTTAAGCAAAAAAAAAGAATCCATCTCTTTCAAACTAAGTTGTTAAAAAAATTCACCTAGGGTTTGAGTTTGCGATTAAATGGGTTCATGTTCTATTGGTGTGGCTTGATCGAAATTTGTTTTCCCAGTTCTAGATTGAAGCGAGACCGTTGATCCTACGCCATCGGATAGTGGTGACTGGGTGTGGGGTGTAATAAACCTGGTTGAGGTAATCTCTGACACTCTTCTTTTTTTGTTTCTTGCAATCTTATCTTTTATTCTCAAGCATAGTGCATAGTTG